GGGGGGGGGCTTCACTTCAGGGAATCCTTTCTGTACTGGATTGCGTGTCGACAAATCGATGATTTATGCCAAGACATCTTTCGCGTTCACGTAGTTCATTTCCCTACTTCCTAAATTCTCTTTACCCTCTATTACAAAACCAAGCAAAATATTGTTCACAACGGCCAGTGTTGATTATATCCGCTAAAAGTCATCTTAGATTTAAGTGTTCTCACGTTCTCAGTACAGACATATGGTGATTTATGAGGCAAGAAAGAAGTTTTGCCAAAACGACAGTTACGGCACCGTTTTAATGGAGTTGTATAAATCGAATCTGTCTGAAACCGCGTTATATTTCATGATGCTTGGTCATTAAACTATTGAGCTCCTCAGCTCTTTGCTTTCCATTCTCAAGGTAGGTCACGTGGTCTTTGGACCTCTTTTAGAGATTGCTCTTCATTTCCCTCCACCTCATCCTCCTCCTCCCCCCTCTTCCTCCTGCTACTTCTATACCTTTTGCTTCTGGCCCCTCCCTTCTCCGCCTTCTCCTGTTCCTCCTGTTCCCCTCTTCCTCGTGTTCCTTCTATTTCTCCTGCTCGTCATCCCCCTGCTCGTCATCCCCCTGCTCCTCATCTTCTTTCTCCTCCTCCAGCTCCTTCTCCTCATGATCATCGCCACCATGTCTATCATCTACAACGCACTGAGATTTTACTTCTCTGTAATTCCCCCCACCCCTCTTATACTCTCTCTCTGCTCTCAATCTCACCCCCCCCCTCCCTCAACCTCTGACCTTTTCCACCCGCGTCTTGTTCAAGTCTTACTAATACCTCAGAAAGCCATCGTTATCAGTCTGAGAAAAAAAAATCAAAATAAAATCAGATACTGCGGTAAAATGTTTCCAAAAACAACCAGCAGTGGCGAGGACCTGAAAGCCTTAGTCGAAGATGCGAGTGAAGTGTAGAGAGGTGAAGGCAAGATAACAGAATGACTGTGCATTAATTGAAAACGAAAGGGACGGAAACTACAAGGTTAATATAAAGAGAAAGAAACAAAAGGTATTTTGGTAGAAAGAAGAGAGCCTAACAAATATTGAGAAATGCCCCATCATGTAAATGTACAATGTGATTTTGCAAGGAGTAAAAATAAGGAAAAAAAGCGCGAGCGAGAAAGAACAGTGGAACAGAGAAAGAGGAACGGAAGGAGCTATGTTAGGGGAGAACATAGAAGATAAGGGGAGAGAAATGGCTGACAAAAGGACCGGGTAAAGTCGATGATGCCAACAGGGCCAGGTTATCGTATTGGCCCATCGATTTTCCCTGTTTTTCAGTAATCTGAGCTGGCTGAAAGCACTGTCAAAGACCACTGCCCCGCCCAACCCCCTTTTAAGCGATCTGATGAAAAATGTTGAAAAGGGGGGAATGCTGGAAAAAGGAAAGTGAACAAGAGAATAAAAAGAAGAAAAGAAAAAAAAAACGAAGGAAAAATGGAGCGGACGTTAAACAAATAATATACACAAGAAATGGAACAGGGGGAAACAGAAGAAAGTATAGGATGAAGGGAAAAGAAAGAAGAAAGAAAAAAGAAAAAGAACTAAGGACGCCTTGGTTTGGAAACCGGGCAAACTGGAGGCAGTTATACGGTCCGAGATTTATTAAGACCAAACAGTAATCAGATAGGAGACTATCGGTCGGCTAGTTGGTGGCGGAGATGCCGATAGGTCAATAATGACAGTTAGACATTCTATGAGGGGTGTGACGTGGCTGAAAAAGGAGTGGGAGGTTTTGTTTTGCTTTGGTGAGAGTTTTACTATGTTCTTAACTACATAAAGTAATATCATTATGAGCGCGAGTGTGTGGTTTCGGAGAGAGACTGTACGGTAATTCAAACCGCCAAAACGAAATGAACCTAGGTGTGGGACTGTACGTTGTGTGGTTTTGTTTTAAGGTTGCTTTTTTTTTGGGGGGGGGGGGTGTTCTTATAAAGAACGTAGAGATAAAATCTATAGTATGCACCTTCAGCCGAGTTGATATAATGTTGGGCTATTGTATGTATGACCCTGAATCAAGATCCAAATTAAGCGTTCTTGAACTTGGGTTGTTTGGGAAGTTTGCAAGGCCTTTTCACGATCTTATCGGGGATGCATGTTAAATTTCGTGATTCTGTCACGTAACTAACCCGATAGGGATGAAAGGGACTTGTTAAACCCGTACCACATTAAATGCAAACAGAATCTAGGGCTCACAAATTATATACGCAGATGAACACAAAGTCTTTTAATTGATTTTGGAGAGGAATTTAATTTTGAGAATATCGAAAGTTACTCCTTAGTAAACAGCCAAGTGTTTACATCCAAGTTTTCAGAATCACAAAATTCCTCATTGTTCCGCTCCTGTAGTTATTTAACTTATTTCAATAAAATAAACATCAAAATGAGTAGAAGTGAATTACCCGTGCAACACTTTTCACAGTTTGATCGTAGATATGATGGATTAGCTGGGATTTTGTAAAGTTTTATGTTACGACTGTGAGCCAAGACGCGATGCCGTGAGCTAGCTGAAATGGCCCGCTGTATACATAGTTAATGGTAAAACCTAGGTTATGGGATTTCCATCATAGTGCTCAATTAAAATTGTAGCAGATCTATTTTGGCATCCCTGGTTCTTCCCCAGCTTGTTGTTCTGTTTGCAGAGTAGGGTCAATGCCCCTCTTCTTTCCATCATTTAACCACAACACCCCCCCTCCTCAAATCTCCCATCCCCCATGTGAATAAGAATAAAAGTATAACGGCGCGGTGGAATCAGGCGCTCGTCACTTTTTGGGCATAAAGAGTTCTTGGTATCGGTGGAAAGGTTGTTCATTTGTCTTGCTTTTGACGAAAAGAAATACTCAACTATCTTGAATAGAAGTTAAGATATTTGCGATTGATGGAGGTCGGTTCACCATGTTTTCGTGGTAAAATTAACGAGAAAATGGTCGCCAAAGTTCGGTAACTTCAACAGTTTGAAAGTCCTTAAAAACTGAAACATTATATATTTTGTCCTATCCGTCAACGATTTTCAGTAACATTTACATGGAAAGGGGTTTTTACATGGAAATAAAATGTATTAAGCCAAAAAAACAACAACAACAACAAAACAGCAACAACAGAAATTCAAAGACAATTGTCAAACTGGCAGGAAAGTGCCTGTTTCTTCGATTTCATTATTTTGACGAGCGCCTGATTTTACCATGATGCCTCAAAAATAAAACCAAGCAAGCTGTACGGTCAAGCCTTACAAAGCTATGTATGGTTCTGACACCAGTGTCTCCTAAGGTAGCTTTATAGACGCTGGCTGTGTTAGTTCAACTTAGGGGTATATTTTTTCACTCAAGAAACACTGTTCAAAACGAATAATGAAACAGCAGTAAAACTGAGTGGCTGGACAAAATGATGTCGAAAAAAACATCTACAGTTTTGAGAGTGGAAGATGATAGCTTGGTGATTGAATTATTAGCCTAATGGTAGTAATGGATAATTTATTTCAACTTCAATAATAATACCTTCATGTCAACCGCTTTCAACACTATTGGCTAAGCTGTCAGTGGATTGAATCTTCAGTAACTGAAAACAATTACCGTGTTATTCTGACCTTCTTTACATTTTATTAGAATAGCTAACTGAAGGTGAACTCATGGGGCTATTTAGTAGAGGAAAATCCGAAGTTTCTCTTAAATTAACTATATCCCCGGGGAACTGGTAAACCCGACAAAAATCGTTACCACTATAAAGATTTTTATACTTAATACGATAAACAAGAACCTGCTGTACAACCGATGTTTTTACGTTTTTCCCTCTACTTGCATGTGACCTTTTTCTCTCTACCATTTTGGTGTCATTATAGTGGGCAGTTTTGCGGTTATAAACATCATTTTCAGCAGTATACAATAATTCACCTTTATTTCATACTTACATACTTTTTGGTTCTGTGAACCTGCCATGATATACCTCCATCCCCTACCACTTACCCACGTTGCCCTTGCCTTTCGAATGAAACAACTACACCCAATCACACACATCCCCAAACAAACAAACAAACAAACAAACAAACAAACAAACAAACAAACAAACAAGCACATACACACAAGGGACGATTTGTTTTCCTTCACCACACAACTAAATTCAAATGTTATTTGTGTAAAACTAGAACCTTGGGAAGTGCAGTTATTTTTCCGTCTGACTAAACCTACGCCCACAGAGCAAAAACAAGGCCCAGCAAATCGTATAGTAAGGTAGCAGAATAGTCTCCGTGTGGTTGATCGATCGCTTTCTTTCCCAAACGTCAGTCAGATGGCAGCGGGTGATAAATGTTTCCCTTCAAAAACAAGAACCAGACGAATATTGTATACCCTATCGGTGCACAATGAGATTTGCCTTTCATTTATTATTCAGGTCGAGTGGAATATACGGTACGCGGCAAGTAGCGAAGACACTTCTCCGAAAACGTCCCAACTTTACAGAATCTGCATAATGGCCGAGGTTGTGATAGTGGAATTTTTTTACTTCAGACTTCTTGCAAATTTTGAGCGAGACACGATTCGATCCTTCAAAGGTCAACCGCGTTTGTTTTTTTGGGTCAGTGTCGAATCCGACTCAAGGGAAATAACTCGTAAGATAACATAACATTGAGAGACAATGTGGGGCAGCACACATTAGCTTCAATAACAACAATAACAATAATAATACATGATAATAATAATTTAAAAAAATAATAATACGAATGGCTCTTTTCGTTTATACAGTCGGTCAATTTAGCTTAAGATGGTGTCAATGTTGTCTTCATGCAGCTTCTTTCATGGATTATTCTTCCTATGTTTTGAAGTGCAGATTCTGTCGCAGTGCTTGCATGTCAATATGCCTTATTAATAACAATAATAATAAAAATAATAATAATAATAATAATAATAATAATAATAATAATAATAATAATAATCCTCATCATCATCATCATCATCATCATCATCATCATCATCATCAACATCATCATCATCATCATCATCATCATCATCATCATCATCATCATCATCATCATCATCAAAGTAATATTAATAAGTTAATAATAGTCAAAATAATATAAAAAAACGAAAAAATAGTATAATATATAGTAATAACGGTAAGTTATCTTTATTACAGTGATAATTATCTCCCCTCCCCCAGATTTAAAGGGTATGAGTAAAAATGACGATGATCTTAATGATGATAATAATAATGAAAATAATAATGATAAAAATAATGATAATAATTTTAAAAAATAATAATGAAGCAATAATAACTACTACCACTAGTAGTAATTAAAATTCATTAAAAAAAAAAAACAGACAAAAAAGTCTGTGTTGTACTCACGCGCTGGCTGCCTCATCCTCCTCCCCAGCCTCCTCCTCCTTCTTGCCGTGCTGCTGGAAGAGACGGATGTCTCCCAGGACCAGGTGGGCTTGTCTCAGCTTGTCCAGGTTGATGAGTCCACCCACGCCGATACGCGTCATGAAGCGATCCTCTCCGTTGAAGTCCGACACGAACTGTATGAAGGAGAGTTGCTTTTAGTAAGATAGGATAATACTTTATTATCTCAAAGGGAAATTTTTCTTGGCTGTACAGGTGCGTAAAAAACACATGCAGACATACATAAAATTTTTAATTATATATTACTCTCATCAAAATTCAATAAGAAAAGAGAAGTAAAGTTGACAAAATGTACCTACCACATCAAACACATCATTCAACCACATGCTGGAATTTAATTACAAGACATTTAGTGTAATATAGATACATGCTCGAAAGAGCTATACACATTGATGCTTCTTCTGA